CTTGATCCGTGTCAACCCAACAGACACTTTCGGAGATACCCGTAGTATACCTTTATAGTCACCCAGTTACGTTGTGACGTTTGGTATACCCAAAGCACTCCTACGGTATCCGGGAGTTACACGATCTCATGGTCTAAGGAAAAGATACTTGACATTGGAAAACTCTAGCAAACGAACTATACGATCTTATGCTATGTTTAGGATTGGGTCTTGTCCATCACATCATTCTCCTAATGATGTGATCTCGTTATCAATGACATCCAATGTCCATAGTCAGGAAACCATGACTATCTGTTGATCAACGAGCTAGTCAACTAGAGGCTTACTAGGGACATGTTGGTGTCTATTATTCACACATGTATTACTATTTTCGGATAACACAATTATAGCATGAATAAAGACAATTATCATGAATAAGGAAATATAATAATAATGCTTTTATTATTGCCTCTAGGGCATATTTCCAACAGCAGCCTCGCCGAACCAGGCCACCCCGGCTAACCTCCGACCACCTGCAGGCCGACCCCGTCGCCGCTCCTTCCCTACTCCTCTTCCTTCCTTCTCCTCCCAACCTTACCCCGTTTTCCCCTGTTTATTTTTCTCCATGGACAGGGAGCGCCATGGTTTCTACTTCAAGCTTCTGCGTCACCCGAAGCTCCTCGACGCCTGCCAGATCCAGCGCCCTGGAGACCCGCGTCCCCGCCGGACCTCCGTCCTCTGCCGCTCCTCTACATGGCGCCGCCGTGCAAGTCCTCTCGTTCCTGCAAGTCCTCTCATTCCTCTGGTTTGTGGTATTTGAGTTGCATCAATGTCAAGTGTTGATTCCATATTTTTCCTAAGTGGTGTTCTCATACTCCTATGTGAATACTAATCCTTCCTGATCATCGAGATTGTGATGTCAATCCTTTTCAACCGGCGTGTTTCTCTTCAAGTGGATCTGAGCATTTCAACATCCGCAAGATCACCTCTCGGTTTCCCCAAGTTGTTCACTTCATCTGTCCCCAAGTTGCCTTTGTTTTACCCACCCTCCCACCCTTGTTTCTTCAAGGACTCAGATTACTTAATCAAGTATCCATTTTATTCATGTGAAGTCTCTTCATTCTTTTCTTTCAATGCTCGTATCCGGTGATTCTCATGAAGGTAATAGCAGAGCTTCAAGTTCATCATTCTCTGTTCTTTTTCTTCTCCGGTGGATTCAATTCAAGCTTTGTTGATCATATCTTTTCCTCGGTTCAAATGTTTTCTCATGCCGACGCACCTCTTAATCATCCACCTCTTGCTATTTTTGTATCCAGAGTGCTGAAGATATCTCAGAAGATTTGTGTCTCCATTATCAATCCGTTCAAGATATCTCGAGGTTGTTATCTCATTCTAGCCATTTAATCCAACCGACACTTTATCTATTTTAAATCGTTCAACGGTGTTTCTCTTGAGTGGGCCCTAACCCACAGGTCTTTTCCCAGGATCTTACATAACTCTTCTAATTTTGCCGGAGTTATTCTCAAATTCATTTCAAAGTTTGACGTAAGAATGATTGGTCATCAGTCAAATGTCTTTCTCCAAGATCTTTCAAATTCTTTCATTGTTGATTCAACCTTTATTTTCTGCATTATTCCGGAGTACCTCAAAAATTCATGGTGGTGTTTCTTCTTGTCATTCTCAACATTTGAAGACCGAAGAAGAGTTTTTTCCTCCAAATCTTATCCGTTCTCTCAAAGATTCATGATTCTAGCTTTATGCCATCCTCTCATAATTGTTTTCGATTGTGAGAATTCTTTTTACCTATCCGGAGCAATTCAGAAGTCTTTTCAGTTTGATTCATCCAAAGCCCATCATCTCAGAATTATTCATTCCATCTCTCAGCTCTCGTTCTCCGAATCATACCGGTGCATCTTTCAAATATTCTCTTATCAGCTCGTGATCTCTTCGTTCTCACGTATCTAAATTCTCTGTAGTATTTTCATTGGTTCTCTAATTCTTCCCGGTGTTTCTTTATCTTTTCTTCGTTCATCTTCAATTCTTACAGTGGTTTGTTCAAGAGCTATCTTCTTGGGTTATCATATCAATTCATTCGTTTTTTTTCAATCCCACTAATGGTTCGTTGAAGACCTTCCCAAGTTTATGCTATATCTATCTTAATCCTTTCAACGAGAATAAGTAGTATGCCAAATCCATTGTTTGTTATCAATTTAATTAGTAAAGGATGGACATAATGTAATTCTTATTCTTGTTTCATCGAGTAAATTCAATTCCTTATTCTGGAGGTTCATCAAAATTCTCGGTTTCTAGTTATTGATATTTCTTTTTCGGAGTTTCAAGTTTTCCGCTTTATCTCGTCGCGAAGCTCCATCTAAACCATTACAAGGCTTCTCCCGGAGTTCTTTTCAATTTTCCTTCGCTTGATCATTCTTTTGTTACCGGAGTTCTCACGAAGGCTCGACATGGTGGTCTGTCAAGAATTCTTTTCATTCTTCAATTGTCCTTCAAGATTTCTCTCGAAGTTACGATCCACCAAGCTATACTCTCAAATAAACATGGTGCTCAACACATGTATTGTTTTGAGGAGTTCGGGCATTCTTCATCTTGCATTCCGAAATGCAACTCTTTCTATCTATCTTTTGAGGTGGTGTTACGTCATTTTTGACAATTGCTTGGTGTTTCATGATTCACAAGTTGTCAGGAATGAGATATTTAAACCCATCATTTTCTTCCTTGGAGTTATCTTGGTATAGATTTCACCTAAAGCCTTCCCTAAGGAATGTTGTTATTGTGGTGCTTATCAATGATTCAAGTTATCTCTCTATCATCTTGGTCGAAGAAGTTTTCATCTCTTCTTTGTTTCGATCAATCATTGCTTTCGGTGGCAGAATTTCACCTCAGTTTTGAGATGTTTTCCATAAGCCCTCAACAATCCTGTTCTTTTCGTTGTTGATTTCCCAACAACTCCGTTCAATCCTTCTTTTTAAGGATGCTTTTCAAATCCAGTTGTGGTAGAAGATGTCATTTTCCTCTCAATTTTTTCCTTTCCAACGATCCAACTTCTATTCTTTTGTTCCAGAGGCATCGTGATTTTGCTTTCTTCACTCATCATCTCGGATTGTGAGGATCGTATTCTTTTCGTGCTTATCCATTTAACCGGAGTGTCGTGCCATCTTTTCAAGTTCTTACCATTCTGCCAAGTTTTACCTACCTTCTCAACCGGAGTGCTATCTGAAATCTTTTTTACCCCTTGTGCGATTATTTCTATAGTTCCGGAGGCAGTGCGTTGTTGATTTCATCAAGCATACTCTCATCTTGTCAAGTTCATATTAAATTCCTTTCATTTACAGTCGGAGTGATGTCCAGATTATATCATTCTTATTCCTTCTCTATCTTGTTTTAACCAGAGTGTTGTGTCTATCATTCCTTTTCTAACCGGAGTCGCATCCAAGTGCTTTCATTTTGCCAAGTTCATATTATTGCCTTCCATTTCCAACCAGAGTATTGTCGTAATTGATCTTTAGCGTTCCTTGTACATCTCGTTTCTACCGGAGTGCTTGCATGTACTTCTTGTCCATTGCAACCCTTTTCTTATGTCTTTCAACCTACAAGGTTCTAGTAATGTTCCTTGGTCCTCTTTTCTAATGGAGTGTTTTCAACTTCGTTCATCTTCGTTGTTTTCTTTCTTTCAATTTGTCCAACCTCGCAAGGTTCCTTGGTTTCACTTATTTGTCAAAGAAGCAACTTAGTTTTATCTCCTCTTCCTCTTCCTTTTTCCCTCCGGTGCCATCCTAGATCTCGGGACGAGATCCTCTCATAGTGGTGGAGTGTTGTGACGCCCCGAGACCATTGCGCCAGGTGTCTTCCAGTTATTCATTGTTGTTGCCTTGTCTTTTGCTTGCGTGTCGCATCTTGTTATGTCATCATGTGCATTGCATCATCATGCTTTCAAAACTTGCATTCGTCCGGGTCTCCCAGTGCCTTCCGTTGTCCGTTCTGAGCCCAGACACACTTGCACGCGCCCGTCGCATGTCCGAGATATTATTTTATAAGTGGCCGGAAAATGCTCTCGGAATGGGTTGAGGGTTGGCATGCAGTGTTGTTATGTTGTCAGTAGACCGCCTGCCAAGTTTCATCGCATTCAAAGTCCGTTTGATAGTCCAACCATTAAACTATAGCGGCATTATAGCCGGGGTCGAACGTCGGACGTTTTCGGTCTCCGAAAACAGCCGCCGGGTCTCTCTCTTCTCTTCTCTCAGCCCAAGGCTTTCTGCACAGAGCACTACCATTCACCGCCATGCCCTACCTAACCTCTCTCGTCAGCCCGCGGCCCTCTCTGCGCGTGTCCGAAAGTTGTCCCGAACCCGACCCGGGCAGTCATCACCATTGGGTCCGGATCATCCCCTAACATCTATAAAACATTACCGTTTTCTTATTTGGACTCCCTAGTTTATTTTTCCCGACCGTTCGATTTTGATCGGAGGGACGAGATAGCCCCTAACCTAATCTTCCTGAGATATATATTGACAAACCCTAAATTCGAGGAGGCTTGTCCCATCCTCCCAGCCAGCTGCCGCCGCCACTCCACCAAATATCTCTCGGGATCCATTCCCTCCTCGTTTTCACACACCAACCAACAAAATCCATCCTTCCCTCGATCCCTTCGCTCTATCGAGCCGGAGCGCCCTGCCATGCGCGCACGATCCAAGCGAGGAGATCCTCCTTGCTCTCCCGTAGCCCAAGCCTCCTCTCGATTTCGTGCCTGTGCCATCCATCGCCCGAAGGAGCAAGGACCTCGCGCCCGATCTCCCTCGTCTTCACCATCTCGCGAGCAGCAGCAACAGTACCATGGTCTTCGTCCTCGTCTCTTCCTCCTCTGCTCGAGCGCGCCCGTCCTTACAGCATCGCCGAACCAGGCCACCCCGGCCAACCTCCAACCACCTGCAGGCCGACCCCGTCGCCGCTCCTTCCCTACTCCTCTTCCTTCCTTCTCCTCCCAACCTCACCCCGTTTTCCCCTGTCTATTTTTCTCCATGGACAGGGAGCGCCATGGTTTCTACTTCAAGCTTCTGCGTCGCCCGAAGCTCCTCGACGCCGGCCAGATCCGACGCCCTGGAGACCCGCGTCCCCGCCGGACCTCCATCCTCTTCTGCTCCTCTACATGGCGCCGCCGTGCAAGTCCTCTCGTTCCTGTGTCGTTCGCGAGCTTGAGGGAGATGCAGCAACGCTCCCGTTTTCCCCGTGGACCGCATCGAGCACCGGCGCCCATCCCGGCCTTCCTCGCTTCCACTCCGTCCTCGCCTGCACCCTGCCAGTCGCAGCCCGACGCCTCATCTGCCTCGCCCTGCATCGCTAGCAGCAAGCCCCGCCGCGCCGCCCTCTGCCTCCCTTGCAATCAAGCTGCAGTCCTGCGTTGACCCCGCGGCTCACCTCGATCTCCCTGCGTGGCCCGTAGCCAGCGCCAAGCCCTGCCCGTTGACCGCGCGTGGTCCTTCTTGCCCCAGCGCCTCTTCAGCCCGCCTGCCTCACCTCCTTGGGCCGAGCCCACAAGCTGAGCAGCCCCTCCAGTTCCCCTATTCCTATCGGGCTAGCCAGTTTCGACCCGCGTGTTTTTTTCCAGATATGTGAATTTTGCTATTATCCAGTGTTTGGCAGTTTTACAAAAAGACCCTCTAACTTCGTGCATATAATTACTCACAAACCGTGCATCGGTTTAAAATGTTTTATATATGAAAAATGCTTAGAATTATGTGTAGACTAATAATATGCCACTTTCATGCATGTTAAAAATGTTTAAAATAATGTTTGCATATAATTTGCCTATTGTCGTGCTAAAATGCTTTATTTCATAACTAAATAACCGTAGCTCCATTTTTAATAAACTTTATATGTAAATGGGGTAGAAAAATGCCTAGTTTAACATGGTGGATTTACTTCGCATGTTTAATAACTCTAAAATATGCTTTAGGATAGAACAGTACCATAACCAAAAATATGCACATGAGGAGTTTCCGGACTTGTTGTTTGTTGTTCCGGCCTCATTTAAACTTGCCTATATAGGCAGTTTTCATATGCTTCACCTCTTGCCATGCTAACCAACATTTAATATTGTTGAGTACATAAACGGGAGAGAACTAAATAATTGATGTGGTGTTCCGTCAATATGCAACTCGTTGAATATTGAGCTCCACTTAACTTGTAGTTTTGCTTGTGCACTTTGCCATGCCATGCTTCATTAAACCGGACATGCATCATACTTGGTTGTGCATCATGCCATGATTATGTGATGGTTGTTTACTATGTTGTTTGTTTCTTTCCGGTGTTTCTTCTTCGGATTGGTTCCGATAACGTCGCGTTTGTGAGGATCCGTTTAACTTCGTCCGTTTGTCTTCTTCATGGACTCGTTCTTATTCCTTGTGGGATCTCAGGCAAGATGACCATACCCTCGAAATCACTTCTATCTTTGCTTGCTAGTTGCTCGCTCTATTGCTATGCCGCGATACCTACCACTTGCTATATCATGCCTCCCATATTGCCATGTCAAGCCTCTAACCCTCCTTTCCGAGCAAACCGTTGTTTGGCTATGTTACCACTTTGCTCAGCCCCTCTTATAGCGTTGCTAGTTGCATCTGAAGATGGAGTTTGTTCCTTGTTGGAACATGATTATTGTTGGGATATCATTATTATATCTTGTTTACTTTAATGCACCTATATACTTGGTAAAGGGTGGAAGGCTCGGCCTTATGCCTGGTGTTTTGTTCCACTCTTGCCGCCCTAGTTTCCGTCATACCGGTGTTATGTTCCTTGATTTTGCGTTCCTTACACGGTTGGGTGTTATAGGGACCCCTTGACAGTTCGCTTTGAATAAAACTCCTCCAGCAAGGCCTAACCTTGGTTTTACCATTTGCCTCACCACCACCTACTTTTCCCTTGGGAGTCGCTCTCCCGAGGGTCATCTTTATTTTAAGACCCCCAGGCCAGTGCTTCTCTAAGTGTTGGTCCGAAACAGAGCCACATGCAGCGCCACATCGGGGAAAATTGAGGGTTGGTTTTAGTTGTACGTAGTGTTCATCCGGTGTTGCCCTGAGAACGAGATATGTGCAGCTCCTATCGGGATGTCGACGCATCGGGCGGTCTTGCTGGTCTTGTTTTACCATTGTCAAAATGTCTTGTAACCGGGATTCCGAGTCTGATCGGGTCTTCTTGGGAGAAGGAATATCCTTCGTTGACCGTGAGAGCTTATGATGGGCTAAGTTGGGACACTCCTGCAGGGTTTGAACTTTCGAAAGCCGTGCCCGCGGTTATGGGCAGATGGGAATTTGTTAATATCCGGTTGTAGAAAACTTGACACTAAACATAAGTAAAATGTATCAACTGCGTGTGTAGCCGCGATAGTCTCTTTTCGGCGGAGTCCTGGAAGAGAAAACGGTCTCGTGTTATGCTTGAACGTAAGTAGTTTCAGGATCACTTCTTGGTCACTTATAGCTTCTCAACCGAGCTTTGCTTCTCTTCTTGCTCTCATTTGCGTAAGTTAGCCACCATATATGCTAGTGCTTGCTGCAGCTCCACCTCACTACCTTTTCCTACCCATAAGCTTAAATAGTCTTGATCTCGCGGGTGTGAGATTGCGGAGTCCCCGTGACTCACAGATTACTTCCAAAACCAGATGCAGGTGCCGATGATGCCAGTGTAGGGAACGCTACCGAACTCAAGTGAGAGTTCGACGAGGATTCAGGACGTTACTATGTTTCCTTTCTGAAAGATCAGTAGTGGAGCCCAGTTGGGGCGATCGGGGAAATATTGCATTAGGGGTTGTCTTTCTTTATTTGGTTCCGTAGTCGGACCTTGATTGTTTTCTTGTTGATGTAATGCTATATTTATGTATTGTGTGAAGTGGGATTGTAAGCCAACTCTTTATCCCTTTCTTATTCAGTACATGGGATGTGTAAAGATTATCCCTCTTGCGACATGCCTACTATGCGGTTATGCCTCTAAGTCGTGCTCCGACACGTGGGAGATATAGCCGCATCGTGAGTGTTACAACTGCTCTGGCCATGCTAACTTGTCTTTCCTCAAGCAAATCAACCAATGAAGGTATGTTTCCCTTGCCTTTTGATTTCCCATGTATGATTCGGTCTCGTCTCCATCATAATTTTGTCTTGCATCGCATCATGTACTATAGCTAGTTATCTGTCTCATTCATCATAAACCGGGATTTAAGAATTAATGATTCATACGACTCAACTTTTTATCCCTCTGCCTAATCAATCTAAAAAACGACAGTCTGATGCATTTATGTATGGGGCCAGACCCAGTACTGCAATATTTGGTCCCTGGTCTTTAGAGTGGTCAATAGTTCGTGATCTTGTTGTTTTCTAGTAGGAGTAGATCATGGAGGAATGAATGGTCACTGGACCTTGCGTTTGTTTAATTAGGGTCAATATATTTCTGTAGTTATTTTTGAATGGCATGCCGCAATTCACTGTAAGCCGTGTCTTGATTAGTGTATACTTTTGTAGCTTGATAAACAGACTCTTCAGTCACATGTTGGCCTGGATACCATGAAAACAAACACTGCAGAAGAAAATTTACCTCTCTGCCTTTTATATATGACTTTGTGTGATGTAGCTTATTATACAGAAGAAAATATGATTTTTCAGTTGTGCCAATTAATAAATTAAGACGATGTTTTAGAAGTTTCACATTTGCTAACTACTATAGTAAGTTTGCTTATGTGTTTCTGATAATGTCTGCAGGGTAACAACGAAGCCTGAAGGCTAAACCGAAATCTGGATGCAAGTTCAAGCCTCTTTAATGGATGCAAAGATTTATTTTTAATGGTCCTAATGCATTTGTAATGGCGAGTTATAGTCTTTTATCTTCCATATCGTGCTTAATAAGTTGTGAACCTTCGAAGATCTTTGTTTCCGAGGAGCACAAGTTTCAGCCTTTAATGGCCCTTCAAACATCTTATCACTTTTATTGTCTGCATTATAGATTATTATATTTGAATGTTTGAATGCGTGAAGATGAAGCTTTCTAGATCTTTTTGATCTTGATCACTGAAAAAATGCAGAGTTTTTGGGGGTTGATTATCATTTTTAGATTGTAAATGTGTTGATTATACATATTGAGATATGCACATAGCAGCCAAACAGCATATGGAATTCATTTCGCAAATCCCCTCTGGCAGCCAAACAAGAAAATTGAACTTGGAATCCAAATCCCACAAAATGAAATTCTCCTAGGAATAAGATTATGGGAGAATCTGGCAAAAGAACTGGGCCTTCATTTCATTTCCACCAAATGAAATGAAAGTTTGGGTGCCAAATGAGTTATTAGAGATTTCATTATGGACTACACATATATAAATATAAGCCTCTTTTAAAGATTTCACTATGGACTACACATGTATATAGACATATTTTGAGAATTGATGTGTTGTCAGAGCTAGGTCATGCTATCACATACCGAGCGCAGACATACTTTGTGTTTAAGGATAATCACTTTGTGGCTAAGGATAACCGTGCGGGAATTTTTTTACGGATAAGCAAAATGACGATGTACTTATCGTGGCGAGGCAAGCGTAAACGAACTCCTTGGATACAATACAATTGAATCCCTTGTTACCATTGTTTTAAGACTACTAGGTCGGGACCTCCTACCCGAGATCTGCCAGCTTTGACTCCGTCAATGAGTGTCACACACTTCCTTGAAAGCGTCTCGGTGGAACCCCAATCCCCTTTCACGGTCGGCATTGATGATTTGAGCGAGCTTCGGTCTCTGTGCAATCCACTTGGGTTGGTCTTGTGGCGCCGCCTTCATTGCTCGGTTCCTCCTCTCCTTCTGATGAACTCCGCTCCGACTGGTTCCTGCTGTCCACTTGTCGTTCCTTGGCGACATTTTGTGCTCTGCGTTCTATGAGATTGGGCTAGGCGTGTTTAGTTTGTCGTGTGTTGGAGGGATGAGCACCCCTTCTTTCTTCTGCTCCAACTCACACTTAGTGTGGTGCCTTCTTCTCTTTATGTTTGTCCTCTCATGTCTATCAATGAAAAGATACATTGCGTGTTCGGAAGAAAAAAAGGAGTTGCTCACAGATGAAGACGTTTTCCTGTGTTTCACTTGTAATTGATGCATACACGAAGCTTTTGGATGTCCATCGTAGAGAAAGAAACGAAGTAGTACATCTCAAATTTGCTGACGGAACCTCAAAAATAAATAAATTTGCTGACGGGCGCGGCAAAGCGCGCCTCCGTCAAGCTAGTGCCTATTATGCCGCCTTACATACGGCTCCATCTCATCTTGTGGATGCGTACGTGGTGTCTTTGGACTCGTCGGCAGCGTCTAAGCTGTCAACCGCGGCAACCTTGGCCGGACCAAACCAACCTAGTCCAGTCACAACCGGAACAAGTGCCTTCTTTGGCACAGCAACGCGGATCCCGCAGCCACCGTCGCCGTCCCGAGCACCCTTTGCCGCCTTATCGCCTTGCTCCTTGTTGTGCCGCGGCTGGTCTTTGGAGTCGCTGAGCACAAGGTCCCTGGGAGGCAAGAAGCACTCGGTGGACAGCCCCGCAATGTTGAACTCCACCTCCTCGATGCTCCACGTCTCCTCCATGCACGTGCACGGTCTCTTCCTGCGCGCGTCGGCGTCGTCTACTGCTCCGGCGGCCCTCGTGAAGGGGGACACCGAGACGACGGTGCGGCCGGCGTGCGCGATGTTGATGCCGTCGACGGGGCGGTAGTCGCCGATGGTGGACGCCATGGTGGTCTCCCAGTACATGCTCGCGTAAGCTGCGTCGGCCGGCCTGGGGATGCGCAGCAGGTGGCTATCCTCGAGACGGACGAGCAGCCCCGTCCTCTGGCTGAAGTATCCCCATAGCGCGTGCCGGATCACCTCCACGTCGGCGCCGCTGCGGGCGTGCAGAGCGGAGGGTTCCGCGTCGACGCGGAGCACGAAGCAGTCCTCGCCGTCGACTGCTTCCTCGCCGACAGACGCGGCGCTGGAGAAGAGGTCCGCCGTGGATTTTGGGTCCAAACCCTGAACGCATCTGCGGATCGGTCGCGGCGGCCCCCGGGAGGCGTGGGCCTGCTGCTGCCACGGCGTCTGGCGCCAGGCAACCTTGCCGTCGCTGCCGGCGCTCATCTTGGTGCCACCGGCCACGACCATCTCCACGCACCAGAGCTCCGGCTTCTTCTGCCACACCACAAATCCTCCGTGCACCTCTCCCATTCCCTTCTTTGTTGCCTTGCTGCTCTTGGATGTAGTGCTGCTCATCCGCACCTTCCCCATGGCGAACATGCTAGTCGCCGCGCTCAGCGCCGCCTCGCCGCCGGCAGCCGCCACGTACTGCTCCACTATATACCTCGCCTTGGATAGCTCCTGAAAACACAAGGACCATTCATTAGCCGTGAAAATCACAAATATATCCCGCTGGCTGAATGCTGATCCAGTCGATCGATCGGTGGTAAAATGAAATCCAAGCACGTACGGTACGGGACTTACGAGGGGCTCCTCCTTACTGTCACGTCCGCCCATGGGCCTCCTGGGCTGCACGGGCTGAGGCACCAGCGGCGCGCCCATCACGCCGAGCATGACCTGCACGCCGTCACGGCGATGCATATGCTGGTGATCGATGTGCATGTGCGTCCGCATCCACGCCTTCAGGTTGACCGTGCGGCGCCGGCGGGCCGGCACCTCCTGGTGGAGCTCGGGGACCGGCACCTCCAGCACGGTGTCGAGGCCGTCCTCCCGGTCTAGGTTGGGGCACACCTTCCTCATGGTCAATGCTCCTCGCCTCGATACCTAGCGCTCGACGTTGAACCGTACGTTTCGGCCGAGAAGAAGGTGGTGGTGAGGTGAGTGCGCTCAGTTTCAGTCCCGTCCAATATATGGATGGATCGTGGATATGTGGCTGCACGTTCTGCGCTACCTTCGCTTCACCCCCACCATGTTCTTCATGCTATTATACTCGTAACAAATATACGGCGAATCCCATTGTTTATACTTATATTATACGGGATCGAATATTTGTGTTGTTCTGGCGATGAGCGGCGCGGTGAATGATTTTGATTCGCGTCGTCTCTCTGTACCTACCTGGGGCAGATTGTAGGGCACTTTGAGGGACATCTGATGATTTGACAGGTCCATGGGTTGGCTGGATGCCCTCCAAGGCGTCAATGGATCCGCGAATTGGCATACGTGTACACCGACATCATTAGATTCCCCAAATTAGTTGTGCGGCAACCATTTCTAAAATTGATACTAATTGTGATCTCCGCTACCTAGCTTCCCCGAAAAACAAATGATAAAGAGATCGCGCGCAATCTCCGGAGGACAAAAAGTGTGCTGTAATGTAATCTGGTCTGGTGATCCTCTCCGATTCTAAATTTTCTGCCTGAATTCTAAAAAGTACATACACACTAATTAGCGAAACTGAGCGGCCGAACTCTCATACATGCATGCATGCAATGTTGTTGTCTAAAATTTTGTCTTTACTAGTAAGCATGCACGTGCAACGCACGTCTCGATCAAAGCATCTATAAAATTCGTGTGGGTACTGAATTCTGAATTCATATTGAAATTAATAACTCTATGTAACGGAAGATCTCCTCGGTGAAATGAAGCTTACTGTATGCTACTCCCTCCGTAGACAAATAAGTGAGTGAGTTCTATTTTCAACAACACATGAAAAATAGTAATAAATCCATGTAATAGTAGCATCTATGGCAACCATATAGAGATTTGAATAATAAAAATGAATGATAAAAAGTGCCTGAAGCATTACACTGCTATACGATATTGGACCAAAGTAAACATATTTGGGATCTTCAATCTTGGCACATAGTGCTGGCCTTGTTTCAGGGGAGTTGTGCAGGTCATCTTCTTGATTAGGAACATTTGGCTTCAAGCCTTCAACTCTTCACCCCAAACCATTTTCTTTTGTAAATAATCTGCAAAAGAAAGACCAAATTCGGTTGATAAAATCAAACCACATAAAACAGAACACCAGAACTATCAAATGTGTCATCTAAAGATAAGTGCTTACCAAAGAGTGAATAAATCAATTTTGATTTATATATCACTAAAATCAGATATAATCCAGATGGATCTCAGATTGATACAAAGGAGAACTGGTTTACATAGTAGGTTGAAGATTTTAAGAAAAGATCAATCTATTTTTTAGCAGGTGTGTTTCCAAACCAAGTGATTTATATTGCGATTAAACTTGCCATGAGCATCCTTGGTTCAGTTGCTACCACAAAATATATATTATGAACACATAATGTTCTCAATTATGAATCCCATCCTCCTGTTGATCCCACAAAAAAAGAAATTAGTTGCTAAACATCCTTGGTTCAGTTCGTGCAGCAATGGGACATCCACAACCCTTTATGATGTATGCTCTACTACTGATGTTTGTAGTTCAGTTTTATATCCTTCTTTCCTAGGGTAGCAAATATGAACATGATTCAGCGTTTTGGTGGATCAAGAGCTTTCCTATGTGAGATATAGAAAACAAACAACAGAAAGAGGAGATTGAGAGGGGGACAGACATGAAGGAGTAGACTGGTGCAGAGGAGACAGGAGGGCGTCGCTGGCAGCAGGGAGGACGACGACGACATCGAGGAGACCAGTGCTCTGCACGGACTCGACCTCGTTTGCCAGCGACTGACGGACCCATGTGCGCGTCCACGTCCCGAGCAGCGGCGGCGACCTGGCAGAGGACGGAGTGCTTGATCTTCTGCCCTGCCCACACCCAAAACTTAATCATGGACACAATCAGGATGGAAAGTTGCAGTTTTAATAGCAGAAAACTTACATTAAACCCCCAACCTTGAAAAAATGTGTGAATAAAGAACTCTTGGGGGTGCTTAATTCAACAAATTATAGTTTTTGGACTGCTCAAGAATTGATGTATTTGCCCTTTGCCTCCCCATCTAGCTCCGCCACTGTAATTAGTTAATTAAAATGATTTAGTCAAAAAGGCATTCGGGTGTTGCATCCACCCAATGGGTTCTTTGTTATGCTGCCGGAAGAAATCCTTTCTTGTTGGCCCTTCAAAATAAAAATGTTTGCAATGTTATCATTTTATATTTAAGATGGTGCCCAACCATGGCACAAACCACAAGAATACTTTTGTCCAACAAACTGTTATATATTCATGGTCGGTGACAACACAACATAAGTACACCAATGACTCAGAAAACAACTGTTCTTTTAAAATGTATGATAAGGCAAGATGGAACTTGGAAAGATATACAAAGGTACAGTATATACACAAACGCTTCCATCTTAGATCTCCATGTCCAATCCTTCTATAATATACAACTAAAACCAATATATTAAAAGGAAACAAGATAAAAGTGAAAAAAAGGAAAATTCCCTTCTCCGATGACACAAACAGGTCAAGGACTACCATATAGTGAGAAAGAAAAATTGATAGCATGAATAAAGTGGTATCAGCTGACCAAAAATGATAGTTTTCAGACGCCAATAGAAGATATGAACTCAAAGGGCCATGCACAGTGCTACTGAAGCTTAGGTGAAGCAAATTACCCAAAAGAAAATATGCATCGACTGTCGAAAGAGTGTGACCAGATCAGACCACCATATAAAAGAGCATGACCAGCAGCAGACTTCAGAGGGAAGTTGATTTTACCCCTAAATAACTTGTACATCCAATTGACATGCTCTAAATGGACTAATGAAATAATGTAGAACTCCTCTGGGATTTAGTAATTAACTGCAGATTGTACAAAGTGTCAAATATGTGATTTAAGTAAAATGTAGAGCAATGGAAGTACAAGTTATACGCCTGAATAAAGCATAACCTACAAGAATCACAAGGGCTAAAAATTCAGAACGCAGAAAATCTACATATGCCAAGAAGGCCACTGACCAAATAACCATGTGTACTTCCATACTGCTCAAACAGGGGATAATTTTTTTTATCTGCAGTTAATCACCTAAGCATTGAGTTAACACACCTGGTGCTACTTTTCTTTTTCGTCCCAAACAGAACAATCATGTCTTTAGTTTCCTAAACAGCAGTAGACATGCATAAGAATCCTAGTACTAATTAACAACTGATAAAAGATGTCGATCAAGCTTTAGAAACTTAGCGGCTGCATATTGAGTTCCATAATTGTTTTCCTCGAAACCACAATCCATAACACCTGCATATATCTCACCTGGAGTATTATTAAATACCAGTTTCATGCCTTCGAGTATATATCACCTACAAAAATAGGACATGTGCTCCTTAGCTAGATTCTATTTTTGAACTGACAAAGCACTGAATCAAATAATTCCTTTACCCATGAGTTTAGGTTTCTAACAATTTAACAGAAGTGGGAGGGAGGGAACAAGTATGATGGTATTTATATGGAGGTTATGGAACTGAATTTCTCCCTCTGCGTCTGGTTACGGGATAACCAATCTTCAGTCATTTGAAAGAGGGGCCTCTGTTCTGCCGTTTGGGGGAAGATTTGCTCTTATGCATATATATAGGGATTTATGCTTCTATTGTAATTGGATCGCGTAGATGTTCAGACGGTAACAATTCATAATGTAGAAAACGAATCGGTGGGTTGAAGAAAGGACAGAAGCTGAGGGGATCGCGTGCGTGCCTTGAGCTTGAAGATAAGAGCTGTGGAGGGCAGGACGGCCAGCAGGGAGGAGACATGTGGCGAAGGACGGCTCCGGCGGAGGCGACCTGCGGCGAAGGGTGGCTCCAGGGCGGCGGCTGGGGAACCTGCGGGCCGCGTCGAAGGGCGGCTCCGGGGCAGCGGCTCAGCGACCTGCGGACCACGACGAAGGGCGGCTCCTGGACTACATCATATAGATTACCTTGATTCACCTCACATGTAGCCTGCTTGGATCTCTTATCAAACGCCTTTGTCGACATGACACATAAAAGATCTTCAGAACCAACATGAGAGAGAGGTGATTAAGTTAGCAAATGGTAATAAGAAGGGTAAATGAAGAATCGGCGTCCAGAATCAATGTAGACGATCTGCAGCAGCACCAAGAATTGGTCTCCAGAATCAATATAGATGATCTGCAGCTGCACCAATCGTTTAGACATGTATGTATCCAATTAGGAGCCATATTTAACATTACAATCAACAGAATCAAAAAAGGAACTCGGGAATCCGCAATTCCGAACAGGTAGGATGAGATGATCGATCTCATATATCAGCTGAGAGTGCAACCAAAAGATTCGATGGTTGCAAGTCTTATAAGTTATAACTATGAGAAAGTCTAGGATTCAGCAATCGGTTGTCTGAATTTTGTTTTGCAATCGAGTGTGGTTTGAAGCCCTGAATGAAAGATAAGCACTAAAAGTCTAAAATAGACTATCTAAGCTATAATAAAAACAAACAATTAAGTTTCGTCCAAAAAAGCAATAGAGCGGATGCCAAAATCCAAACCTCAACTTTGCATCACCAAGAAGAGTACGGAGATCTTCTTGTCCAGGAAGCTCGTCCTCATGCACCATCACTTCCTCACTGGACAGAACAAATTAATCGAGCAAGTTAGTGATCCTAAAAAATTAACACCACAATCTTTGAGGCAATAACACAAGCACCTGGTGCAGCGGAGAGTGGAGTGGCGCGTGGGTCGCTTGCTCGTGGAGGTGTGTAAAAGGCCAACGGAGACCAGCGGCTCGCGGCGGGCGGCTCCAGCGCGACCTGCGGCGGTTCCAGCGACGGGGCAGCTTCAATGTGAGCTGCGACGGTTCCAGCGGCGGCTCCAGCGGCGGGCCGGTTCCGACG